GTTTCATTACTCTCAAAGAGAGTTCCTATACTCTCACAGAGAGTTTGGTTACTCTCATAGAGAGTTTACTACTCTCTTATAGAATCTAGCCCCACCCTTTTATCCTTTTCTATTTGTAAAGTGTGATATTCCCTTTCTAGGGTAATTCTTATAGGCAAGGTTATCACTGTGAACCTGTCATTAATAAATATTATTATCTATAAAATGTTATTATCTTGAACCATTTGCCTCCTGCTGTGAAGTTAAAGTTTACACTTTACATCCACCCCGTGTATATTCATAAAGTATATCACTGCACTGGGTGACCTTGTTACTTTGCTATATTTATACTAAGAAGACTATAGCATTGTAACAATATAGCTATATATAGCTGAAAAAAAAAAACAATACTGAAGAAACACCAATTTCTGGCTGTTTAGAAAAATATGAAGAGAACCTATGATAAAAAAAAAAAACAATACTATATCAGTAATATTTGATAAATTTTGATAACAAATAAAACATGAAATTGCAGTTCTAAGATGAATCTGTCAGGCCAATCAGCAATAATAGAAATTATATTCCCTTTTTGAATATATTGCTGTATAGATAAGATATTCACGACTGTATTAATAGCTTTAATATATCTATACAAATTATGAAAATCATTTTGCTGCAAATCAATAAGAATAGTATCCTTCATTGAGCTGATATTTTATTTTTTCCTTAACCTAATATCATAACTATATATAGTTAGTTCTTCCAATTTTGTATCATTATTAACAATATGAAATTTCCAATATTGATTATGTAAAAGGCTATAAAATCCCATTAACTTATTCTTTATATTTATTTTAATTAATTCTGCATTAACTAGAACAGGGTTATGAAGATTTAATTTTGAAATTACATATTGAGTTATAATTGGATTCATTAGAATTGTTGCCAGATATACAGTAGTTAATGTAGTAGTTGTATTTGGTATTTGCACTATATGAATACTATGATAATTATCAATGTCTAATATCATAGTATTTTCTTTACATTTAGAATTGACAGCTTCTTCATGTTTTTTAGATATAGCTGCCTTATACTGCTAGATTGTACGAGATGTTGTAGTAATACCTAAATTAGCAAGAGTATCTATTGAAGCATTAGAAAAACTAGTAGAATCTAAATACATTGCAATATCTTTTTTTATATAATTCACAAACTTGTTATAAATTCTACAAAGAAAGTAGTAGACAATAGAAGCTGCTTCTTGATCTATTTCTGTGAATCTTTACTTTTTTTTAATAGATTAAATAATAAATACAATTCATTAAAAAAAGGCTTTAATCTCATATCTTCTTTCTCTATAATTTCCTTAAATTCTTCAAACTCATATATTATAGGTTGTTTTTTTTTTTCACAAGCATATAAAATATTTGTTAATGCTGCTATTGCTTGAGAAAATAATAAAATAAGGTTAGTAATTTCATTTTCAATATAATCTACTTCCTCAAAATCATTCTTTTCTATAATAACTTGAGAATGTTGCTTGAATTCAAATAAACAGTTTACTATAATTCTATTATAACAGGCTAAACAGACAATATTATCTAAATAAACATAACTTGGCAAGGTACTCTTAGCTTGGGCTTTAGAGAAAAAGCTCTCAGTTACTCTTCTCCATCAAGTCGACTATCTCTGACAAATAGTAATAACACATGGACCAATAAAAGAGGTAGTTGGAGACATATTTTTCTCTTCTAATAAAACTTGCTGAGAATGTTGATTATCTCTTAATTATTTTGCACAGTAGTTGTTAACATCTTTTCAAAGCTTTGTATAATTAAAAAAAATTTTTTTTGTTAGTGAAATATAGAATTCCTAAAAAGTACTTTAAAGCATATAAATTAGTTACCTGGGCTATTGAATCGATCAGCCAATCAGATAAATGTCGGCCTATGACCCTTGGACCTTTAAAAAAATAAATTAGGCCATACAAATTTTGAAATTTTAAAAATAAACCTGGCCGGCCGGCTTTTTTTTTTAAATTTCATATATAAAATTTTATAAAATTTATATAAAAAATTTTTTGGGGTTATTAAAACATAAAAATTTTTTTTTAGAAGTTTTCAAATTTTGACCCGGCCGGGTTATGAAAACCAATTAATTAATTTTGCATGGCCTTATAAACAAATTTATTGCGTTTAATAAAATAAATAAATATATATATATATACTATATATATATATATATATATATATATATATATATATATACTATATATATATATATATATATTAAATTATACAAAATTGATAAACTTATTGCTTTTTACTATATATATACTGAAAAATTCCTATAGTATTAAGAAATTTCTATATATGAAAAATATATGTACGTATACGTAGTATATTCTCAACTCCTAAATTTTTTTTTACAAAATATAAAAATAAACTTCCAAATATTTAACATCTAATAATTTTACATGTCAATATAACGTATATATTTTCTAAACCCTACGGCTAGTCCTAAAATTTATTAATATTAATATTTTTTTTTTTTAAAGAAATTCTATAATTTAGACGTGATATCTAATTTGAATTTTTTGACTAGCTAATACAATAATATTTTTACAATAATCTATAAAAATCAACTAATCACGAAGTCCGATAAATGAATAGAATACAAATTTAGCTACAACGAGAAAAGGTATCACTATGTTAAGATTCAATATTATTTTTAGTGTTCTGAATAGGTCGATCTGGACTTCTCTTTTAATTAATTACACAAACTACGGTAACTACCAGTTTGTAGATATAATGTTCGATTGTGTATATTCATTTATTAAATTAACAAAATGTATAATACAAACCGGATATATACCAGATTAAAATCAGATAACTGAATAAAGCACTACTTATTGAAGAGGTTGAAGATTTTTCAGAACGTTTATCAATTGTTTAATTCCGACAATCCTAAATGTATATGTATAAAAAAATTGGTAAAACATTGAAGGGCCACATCAGAAAAATAATATAAATAGAAGTAATTACCATTTCCCACATTCATCCATTTTAGTGGTCATCAACTGCACCTGATTGTTGATGGCACTAGGAAAATTACGCGATTCCAAATCTAAACGCATAAAAAATTGTATAAGTAATTTAAAATATTCAGTGATCAGAGTGCCAATTCAAAATTAACAAACTAACCTCTAACGAGAGTTAGTAATAATTCAGTAACACCTGGAGAAACTTCTTCATTATTTAAAGCATCGAACAATAAGTTAAGGCGTTTCTCAGTATCGTCCAATATTTTTTTTTGCGTATTCTAAAATAATCAAGCATAACAATTTATAAAACAAATCAATTACAAGAGTTCAAAAGTGCATATAATAACTAGTCT